ACGGTAAATATCGATAATATCAAATATCGATATATTTTGCCCAACCCTAAGTTACGGGAAAACAACAACGCCCGCCTGCGTTAGTATATAGTATATACGTAGTTCACGTAGTGTAAGCACGTGCTTTTATACATACTGTTAATATTCTTCAATATAAAAATAGTTTATCCAATTTGGGTAGCCGCAAGCATTGTGCCTTATCATAGCGCGTGCATGTGCAGACTGCAGGAGAGCATAAACACATCAAAAAATTGGAAAGGTCAGTTTAATTTGAATAGCTACCATTTGTACTATTTTAATTCATATTTTACCCGTACTATTTTAATTCATCCTTGCGAAGTACCGATGTTTATGTATTACATATAAAATATTATAAAATATTATAAAAGTAAACACGTGGAGGAAAATATTTATAGCTGGTGTGTGTGTGTGTGTGTGTGAGTGCGTGCACGCGAATATATATATATATATATCGCATGCGTGCCTTTTGTTGCTTTTTAATCTGTATACTGAGAGCTTAATTTGAAATTTAATTTAACTTTTGTTGAAAATATTGCATCAAAAATATTATAAAATAATAAAAGTTTTGCGTGTCGTATAATTAAAATTCGTAAATTTTTATTATACATTTTTAAAATATTTAAAGAAGAATTTTTAAACAATTTTAATGATTTACGGAAAGCCTGCATAATTAAACTTTTATTGAAAATATTGCATAGTTAATGTTCAAAAATAATAAAAGTTTTGTTATATTTATCTTTATTTGAAACATACTGCAGTATGATTTTCCATTTTAGATTTCTCTCAAATATGGAAAAAAAAAGAGAATTCGAGTGATTCGCAGGAAGAAAATCCCAGAAAAAGGAAGATTGATGACGAATGGATCTTCGCAGGAAAAAATTTTTTGTGTCCGTATATAATATTGCCTACATTTAGCCCCTTTTTTGCAGTTATCAAAATGTGATAACATTGATAAACCGATAACATAATTTTCATTATAAATATAATATTATATTTTATTATATTAATTATAATTAAAATAGTTAAATACATTAATAGTTAATAAGTTATTAAAAAACACAATATCGTAATTTAAAATTTAAAAATACACAATTCATTGAGAATACAGTATAAATGTACAACATATTTAGGTGGAACATTATTTTAAATTTTCAATCTTTAGCTGTAAAAGTTAAATTATATAATAAAATTGTGCAATTGTGTAATGATATTATTATTATTACAGTACACAAAAAACATATTTTAAAACATCGCAATAAAATTATTGAATTACTTACAAACGAATCAAAACCTATGCAAACAGAAGATATAAATACAATCAACATAAAAAGAATATTGAAAAACAACCACGTTTCTTTACTAAAAAAAAAAATAATAAACTTGAATTTCATCAATTGTCGTCGAGTGAAGGTAATATAATAAGAAAATCCTTACTGAATAATACAAGTGTTTTAAATGTTCATTCATATGACGATCATTCTTATAGTGCTAAAAGAAAATTAATTTCTTAATATATTGTTGAATTGTATCTTTTAAATGACGATCGTAAGTGAATAATGAATATTGTGTTTTTTTTTGAATTGTGTATTATTAAATTTATTAACTATTAATATATTTATTTATTTTAGTTATAATTTATAATGTAAAAATATTATGTTAGTTGGATAGTTATGTTATTATAATAACATTATTTTTATAACAATATTTGTGTACTGTAATAATAATAATATCATTTCACAATTGCTATCTGGGTATTAGTTCGAATTTTGAAAATATTTATCAAATTTAAAATTGTATTATATAATTTACCTTTTACAGCTAAAGATTGAAAATTTAAAATAATGTTCCACCTAAATATGTTGTACATTTATACTGTATACTCAATGAATTGTGTATTTTTAAATTTTAAATTACGATATTGTGTTTTTTAATAACTTATTAACTATTAATGTATTTAACTATTTTAATTATAATTAATATAATAAAATATAATATTATAATTTATAATGAGAATTATGTTATCGGTTTATCAATGTTGTCACATTTTGATAACTGCAAAAAAGGGGCTAAATGTAGGCAATATTATATACGGACACAAAAAATTTTTTCCTGCGAAGATCCATTCGTGATTGATGACACGTGTGATGATAAGAAGATAAAAGAAGAAAGATTACAAAAAAATAGTGAAAAGTATAAATGGTACAGAGAAAATAAAAAGAAAAAAATGGCTGCTCTGTCTATTGATGCTGCTCATTCTTCACAAAATACTTCTGATTCAGAAATGAATTATACAGGAGAAAAAGATATAAAAATACAAAAAAAACATTGAAAAATGTAAACATTATTGAGATAAAATAAGAACGTCACATTTATTAACACCAACTATTCCTGATCGGACCAATGTATCGCAGATTATTCATAGTTCTCAAATTGCAGGCCCGTTCACCCGACATGTGCCATATGTACCACCTATAATCCATACTTCACAAATTGCAGGCCCATCAACCCGATATGTACCATATGTAGCACCTGTCATCCATACTTCACAAATTGCAGGCCCGTCCACCCGAAATATTCCATATGTACCACCAGTTATCAATAGTTCTCAAATTGAAGAAAACGATCCTATCGAAGCCAGTGTACAAGAAAGGCATTCTCTATTGCAAGTTGTTGACCCATCTTCACCTAATACACTTATTCAAACATACTCTGCGTTTGAACAGAATTCCTCTGCTCATCGTCAATTTGAAAAAGATTTTGTTGAAAATGAATTTGGTTATGTTTGTGACATTTTTGATAGACTGTGGCTTAAAAATGATTTGAAGTATTTGCGGAATAATGATACAACTCGAAATATTGTATTTATAAGAACATTGCTCTCAGACATTAACATACAGGAAATAAAAGTATGTTCTACTTGCTTTACAGCAATTCAAAAGCAACGTGTCCCACCACTATTTGTTTACAATGGATTCAAGTATCCACCAGTTCCAGACTGCCTTAAAGACTTTCCTTTCGAGTTGGTAACTGAAAGGCTTATATCTCCAAGGATTCCATTTATGCAAATTCGTAGGCTTCGGCATGTTCACTGCCAATATGGAATTTACGGACAGGTGATAAATGTTCCTATAGAAGTAAATACAATGGTGAATTTGTTACCAAGACATGTGGATGATGATCATGCCATAACAGTTCATATTAAAAGAAAGAAAATTCACAAATCCAGCTACGTATATGGTATCGTCAAGAAAAGAAATATAAAGGTTTGGTTACGATATTTAAAAGATACTCCTCTTTACCAATCATACGGCGTTTCAGTTGATGATAATTTTTTGAACGATGGAAGTTATGACGTTGAAGATGAAATTATGTTTGATGAAGATGGAGACAATGATATTTTAGAACATATACCTATTGATGAAAGTTTAATGGCACAACAGCAAACATTAATGTGGAATGACGATATTTATTTAAGAATCGCTCCGGGAGAAGGTAATTTTTTATTTTCATTTTCATGCTTCATTATTGAAATTGATTGATAAAGAAAATACAAAACAAACATTTTCTTTTATTTCTAGGCATGATTCCAAAGAGTTTGCTATTTGACGAGTACGCTGAAGAATTATCATTTCCGCAAATATATTTGGGTCAATTCAGAGAAATCCACCGTGGCTTGTCAGTCACACCCTTCATGATGGCAACGAGTGAACTTAGGAGATCTGATAGACGAGGAGTAACCCCTCAACACTTATTATACATGGCTATGGAAATAATGAGAATTAGAATTAAGGATTCTCTTGGTATCGCATTCAAGCATGTAGGTGAAGGGATTACAATAACTAAAGAGCAAATACAATCTGCTGATTATATTCATGGCTGCATTGAAACTAATTTGGCATTTCTTCGCTCAATCCCGAATTCAGCATACTATTGGGCAGAAAGAAAACGAGATCTTTTTGCCATGATTCGACAATATGGTAAGCCAACCGTTTTCTTTACCATAAACGCTAATGAAATTGGATGGCCTACATTATTAAAATTGTTGCATAATTTGAAAAATAAAGGGTCTCTGTCGGCTGAAGAAGCTGCAGATTTGCATTTTATTGAAAAAAGCAATCTTATTAATAAAGATGTGACATGCGCTATATACTTTAATAAGTTAGTCAATGTTCTTTTGAAAATATTGCAGTCGAAAAGGCACAGTCCATTTAAAAAATATAGAATTTTGCATTATTTCAAAAGAATAGAATTCCAACATAGACGTAGTCCACACGCGCATATTTTAGCTTGGTTAGCTAATGCCCCGGAAGACGCTCTTGGTAGAGATTAAAATAAATGATTTTCTCATATCAGTATGCGCTGCGGATGCTTCTGGTGAAATCCGATTACAAACTCATAAGCATACTTTTACTTGTTATAAAGGTATAGCATCAAGACAACAACAAAAATGTCGATTTGACGCCCCTTTTATGGCAGCCAAAGCAACCATGATTTTGACTCCTATGCCCGATACAGAAGATGGTTTCCAACATTACAAGGCTAAATATAATGCAATACGAAAAAACTTGGAAAATTACGAATATAATGATTTTCAATCATTTTAGGCTGAAAATGATATTGCTTCGGATGAAGAATATATTAATATTATTAGAGCGGGAATTAATAGACCTCGAGTTTTTCCAAAACGTCAACTTTGCGAAAAATGGCATAATCCATTTAATCCATTCATTTTCAACGTAGTCAAATCAAACACAGATTTCCAATTCATAACTGAAGAATATTCTTGTGTGGCCTACGTCGTAGAATATGTTAATACAACTAATAGAGGTATTAGCAATTTACAGGGAAAAATACTTGAAGTAATGGATGAACATCCTGAGTTTAATTTGTTCGACATTTCTAAAAATATCAGCATTAATCTTTTAAACCACACCGAAATGACAAGTCAAGAGGCTGCGTGGTATTTGCTGAGAGAGCCAATGTCAAAAAGTTCAACAATTGTTGTGTATATACCAACCATATGGCCAGTCGAAAGGCAAAGAATAAAAAAAACGATGAAAGAATTGAGTGAATTAGAGGATGACTCAACCGACATATGTAAGGAAAATTGGTTCGATAAATATGAGAAACGACCTGAATATTTAGAGGATATTTCTCTTGCTCAGTTTGTTTCTAAATATTACAAAAATAACAAAGGTGACTATGTACTTAGAGAAGAACCAAAAGTTATAAGAGACCGCAATTATGATATGGGTTCAGATTATAACGAGTATCGTAGAGAAATGGTTACATTGCACCTTCCTTTCCGTCATGAAGAATCCGAAATTATTGCAGAATCAAGATATCTTGAGTTATACGAAGAAAATGAAGCGCTTATTCTAGAGCGGAGAAAAGAGTTCGAATCAGATATCGACATCGAAAAAACTTTACAAATTTGCAGAGAGTTATGCCGTGAAAATGTTCCTCTTGATGGAGAGGAGGTCAACGACGTTGTTGGTTTAATTCCTGCTGAAAATCCATTTGCTGAATTATATGACAATCCAAACGCCGATTTAAATGATGATTTACGACTCTCTTTGTTTGACAGACTCGGAGCAATTGCTAAAAAAAAGAGAATATCTTACCTTATCCGGAATTTTATGCGCTTATGCGCAGAGCAAACGAGGAACAGCGAGAAATTTTGTTTCACACTATACATAATTTAATAACAAAAGACGAGCCAATGAAAGAACCATTGCTGATATATTTCACTGGGCCAGCTGGGAGTGGTAAAACGTTTGTTATAAAAGCACTCATGGAGATTTATAACAGATTTTCTGACACGGATGGAATTTTCAACGCGTACATAGCCTGTGCTTCGACTGGAAAAGCTGCTTCAGCTATAGGTGGAACAACGGTGCATAATGCTTTAAGCATATCACTATCAAGGCTATTACCACTAAACATTGAAAAAGCTCAACAATACAGAGCATTATTTCAGTTCATTAAAGTTCTTATTATCGACGAAGTAAGCATGGTTTCAGCAGAGTTATTGGAACAAATTGATGCTCGTTTAAAGCAAATAACTGGTTTATTTACAAAAGCTTTTGGTGGATTGGACGTATTTCTTATTGGAGATTTGCGCAAATTACCACCTGTAAAAGCCACGCCTATCTTTAAGCAAATAAAAAAAAATTACTGGTGAATCGACTTGGCGAAAATTTAAACAATTTGAACTAAAAAAGTTAATGCACCAAGAAAATAGACTCTTTTCTTCAATTTTAACAAAGATCGGTGATGGATTTATTCTAACAGAAGAAGAATTAAATATAATAGAATCTAGATTTGTAACTAAAGAACACGCACAATCAGTATGTCCGGAAGAAACTAGACTCATGTTTACAAATAATGCGGTTAATGAATACAACAGTGCAATTTTAAACACTTTCGAAAATAAAATTGTTTCATTAGCATCGGATGTTTTTGTTGGTTGTCACAATGCCGAGCAAGAAAATTTTGTTAGGCAGAAGTTACATAAAATGAAACCGGACGAGACTGGTGGATTACCTTATGAATTAGTTCTAGTTCCTAACCTACCTTACATGATAACTCTAAACATAGATGTCGCGGATGGTTTATCTAACGGCACTGTAGGAAAATTACTTCTCATAGAGTTTGATGAAAATGATACAATAACAAGACTTTGGTTCAAATTCCCAAAGTCAATAGGTCAAAAACGTTCAACAAAGTATAGGAGTAACATTGCGCGCTTAAATATCGACAAAGACGATGTTCCGATTTTCATTCAAACGTCTTCAATACCACTCAACAGAAATAAAACTATACTCGCAAAAAGAAAACATTTTCCGTTCATTTCCGCTTTGGCAATGACAATTCACAAAGCGCAACTAGGTACTTTCGATGTTATCGTTTACGAATACGACCGTCGTCACTCAAGAGAATTGGTATACGTTGCATTAACAAGAGTTCTAACATAGAAGGTTTATTCTTAGTTACTAAAGAAAACACAAAGGAGAGCTGGATATTTCATCATGGCAGAGTAGGAAAAGAACTGGTAGAAGATTCAAATGCAACCAAAAATCTAAAGAGATCAACAACTCATCGAGAAGATTTATCGATTGAATTGAAACGTTTGCATGAAAATCCTCTGCAAACCACCACCAAAACATTTCTTAATTTCACCAATAAGAATAATAGATTGTCTATATTTTCATTCAATTGTCAAAGTTTACGTGAGCATGTGAATGATTTAGAAATTGACGCTCTTGTTAAGAAGATTAATGTATTAATATTATCAGAAACTCATATGGGTAACGACGAAAAAATTGACATTCTAAATTTTAACTTTGTGGCGAGTTTCAGAAGAAATAATCGTAGCAGGAGGAGTTAGCTATATATCAAAATACCGACACAGTGCATTATTGAACAAATTATATGGATGTGCATGCCAAATACGCCACGATGTTTAACACTTCTACTTCTGATATCCGCGATATGTGTATAAGTCGTTGCCACTGCGGCGATAATCAATTCATCATTATGGTTGCCGTTTATATTTCTCCTAATAATTCATTGCGTGCTATACGAGACTTCTTTTATGAAAATTTATTTATTTATTCTCATGGCGCATCTGCATTGCTTCACCAAAAAATTGGAAAAGGATTCGATGATTTGCCAATGATTTTGAGTGGGGATTTCAATATAAACTTTGCAGACCACAAAAATCTACCATTATTGGAATTTTTCAAAAATGAATTTGGTTTGAACATGTCAAATAATCGCAATCTTAGCACAACAAGATACAAAACTACTATTGATGCGGTCTTTACAAGATATTTGAATAAATTCGAATCAAAATTGTTTGTATCATACTTTAGCTACCATAAACCGATTGTATCAGTTTTAGAAATTGGCAATGATACTGGCAGTGATGAGTGTGCAAGATTTGGTGAAATGATGGATGGAAATTGATTTTTCTGAGTGTACTTTAACTCATTTTTGTAAAGCATTTGTAATAATTTTGACATGTAATTTTTTTTTCTTTTATGTAAAATAACTGAAATAATTATGTATAGTATTTTATATTGATAAATAAAACAATTCGTGGTACATTATTTCCTAATCATTATAAATTTTTTAAAAACGAAGTGATATCGGGTACCGTTAATGATAATGTCAAGGCAATAGGTGATGTATATCGTTTCTTAGATTTTTCTCAAAATAATTCCATTAGAAACCAGGCTGGTTCACTCCTTGACCTTGTTTTCACATCTGAAATAGACATAGTTGTTGACACATCACCAGACTCATTAGTTATGCCAGATAAGTATCATCCACCATTAAACATTACATATTCCATGCCTGATGTGCCACCTCAATTGGATGATCAACACTCATTCCATAATTTTAATTATGCCGATTATAACTCGATTACTAATATTCTGAGCTCCATTAATTGGGAAAGTGAGTTTAATAATCTTGGAATTGAAGCTGCAGCTAGTCGTCTACAAACAATTTTAATAACGTTAATTGAGCAATATGTACCAGTTCATACATTTCGTCCCTCAACTTTCCCCAAATGGGTAACACTTAAATTGAAAAATTTAATCATTGATAAAAAAATTGCACACAAAAAACTGAAAAAGTTTGGCACAATACACTATCGTCATAGATTTTCGTTTTTACGTGCTCAAGTTAAACTCGAGTCAAGGTTGGCATATGAGTCCTATCTAAGTAGGATAAATTTTGGTCGTTTATCAATAATCGCCGAAATACATCAGGTATCCCAAATGTGATGCATTATGGTAATATTGGTTCCGGGACATTTGCGGTCGGCACCTTTTTCGTGCCATTTGCGGTCAGCTTATTTATATCTAAATTTAAGGTATACATATATGTATATAATATACTTTATATACTAAATTGACTCTATATACTAAATACGTAAACTTTCCTTCACACTTTTCCAGGCTTAGGACTGGCAGTAGTTTTTACTGGCGTGTTTAAAAGATAATTATTGTTATTATTATTTTTTATTATAATTATTATTATTATTATTATTATTATTAATTGTTACTATTATTTTTATTAATTTGTTTTATTGATAGAATGGTCGAAATTTCAAAATCCAATGTAAATGATTCAGGATTAAAGTTTGGAATGTGTGCTTTTATCATCGAAAATAAACGCTCATAAACAATTTTTGTTTTATCAGGAAGTAAAATATATATTACAGGAATTACATTTATTTCGTCGTTTGTAGACCCAATATCAATATGAACAGTATAAACTTGATAAAATTGTTTGCTACAGCTTTTAAAAGTGCCATCGACAAAACAAGTTTTTCCTTCAGAAGCAATTTTTCTACCTTTACTTGAACATAAACCTATAATTCTATCTTCTTTTCCGTCATCAAATAATACAAATTCAGAATCACTAGGTATAATAATATCTTCTCTTAATTTAGGATCCAATGAATTGCCAAGCGATTTCATACGTATACGATTTAATGTCGTTTTTACAGACGAGTAAACTGGAATCTCGGTCACTAAATCTAATCCCTGATCTATTAATGGTGTAAACTCTTGACGAAAAATTTGAGTGGCAGAATTTGATGAATCACGTACGCGTTTTTTTGCAATATTATATTTTTTTTTTACTTCAATTATTGCCGAGTCATATTTACATTGATGAATAGTAACATTTAAAATTGTATTACCTGTTGTTTTTAATCTTCCTGTGCATTTCTCTCTCTTTTTTTCATTCAAACATACCCAGGTTGTTACATTTTCGTTATTGGTTCGATACTTCCTATATTGGTAACCGTTGTATACTGCTAAAGCTTTTCCTTTAGTAGTTTCCAAAATTTCTAAAGAATCGTTAATTTTAATAACACTATAATATGCCAACTACGAACTCTACAAATGTGTATACTATACTAAAGACTGAGTAAATGTTATCGATGTAACCATCATAAGTTCTAACATTATCTATAATAATACATATATACTGTATAATATTTATGTATGATATTTAATATACCTTAGATTAGATAATCAGGTAGATAGAAATAATCTGACCGCAAACGGCACGAAAAAGGTGCCGACCGCAAATGTCCCGACCGCATCGGTGCCGACACCGGTAATATTATTGCATCAGACGTAGATATTGCAAATCTATTTGCACTTCTTTTCAATTCCGTTTATAAATCACCGTTACCCCCCCCCCCCCCACATTGGAATGCTGAAAATATTGGCATTAAACCATTTACATTTCTGCCTTCTAGACTTACTATTGAACTTGATGAGGTAGAAGAAAATTTATTATCCCTGAGAACAACTAAGAGTCGTGGGCCTGATGGTAATCAGCTCAATTTTTATTTAGTATTAGGGCACAGTTAAAATATCCTCTATTGTATTTATTTAACCTCTCATTAGCCGAAGGTATATTTCCATCAATATGGAAAACGAGCCAGGTAACACCTATTTACAAATCAGGAGACCCAGGGTCAGTATCTAATTATCGTCCAATTTCTGGTTTACCTCTAATTGGTAAATTATTCGAAAAGATTGTTAATAAATGTATTGAATGTAGATTTAAACTAGTTTTATCAACAAATCAACATGGGTTTTATGGCAGTCGTTCCACAACAACTAGTGCCTTAGAATTGTCTGCATTTATCAGGGATAGCTTCAAAAATATGAGTCAAGTTGATGTGATATTCACTGATATTTCTAAAGCTTTCGACTCCGTAAACTATATTGTGTTAATTGATATTCTGGATATATTGGGTGTATGTGAACCTCTGCTATCCTGGTTTAAATCCTATATAACCGGTCGACGACAATTTGTATCCTTATTTAATCAAAAATCCGCGGAATATTTAGTCACTTCCGGAGTCCCAGAAGTCCCGCACTTGTCTCCACTTCTATTTAATATTCTAATAAATACTTTATGCGAATCTGTTGACAGCAAAATGCTATTATTTGCAGATGATGTAAAATTATTTAATTGCGTTCAATCTGAGAGTGATGCTATTTTGTTACAAGAATCGTTGAATAAGTTAGTCCATTGGTGTAATACAGTTGGGTTAGAGCTGGCTATCCATAAATGTAAAGTTATGTCTTTTTCGAGACATCACTCAATTATTCAATATGATTACTCTATTGATAACGTGATGTTACA